CGATATACCCTTATATTCCTCTTATTTTTTGTAATCATATAAATAATGGTGAAATATATGCTCAAAATCCTTGCTAAACACTTTAGGAGACATGCATGATATTTGCAAGACTTAGGATACATCTACATTGCAACGCTATTTCTAAATAACTTGTGCTATTCTGAAATAACTTAATCCGTGTCTACACAGCAGGCAGTTATTTTGAAATAGTGTCAAACTACAGTCAAGCTGGAGGACTTCTTACTCTGATTCCTGTAACCCTCATTGTATGAGGAATAAGGGAAGTCAGAGGAAGAGTGCTCTATTTCGAAATAAGTGCTGTGTAGATGCTCCCTATTTCAAAATAAGAAAGAAAGAAATTAAATGAGTACGAGGCATAAAAGTTAGAAATGGTTAAAAGAAAAAGAAAGAAAATTATACTTGTGCCTAACTTAATAAACTATGTCAAATGCAAAGCGAAGTTTCCTCACCACAAGTTTTCAGGAGTCCTATTTTTTAAGGCTATGTCTACACTGCACCGTAGTTCAAAATTGCATATCTTATTTGAAATAGTTTATTTGTAATTTGGCACTGTCTACACAGCACCAAATTTCAAAATAACTTGCTATTCCAAAGCATCCCTTACGCCTCGAGGTTTACAGGAATGTCAGAATAGCGAGCCTGAAATAACGGGCTTGCTGTTAAGACGTGGGATAGCTATTTTGGGATATTCTAGTAGCCCGAAATAGCATTGCAGTGTTGATATAGCCTTAATGTCCTACGTTAGGAGCCCTCCAATAGATGTTTCCCTTCCTCCCTTCAGGTACTGTAAATTGATAGGCACAGAGAGAGGGGAATGCTTTGGTGCATTTGTTTCTTTTTGTAGTTTCAGTTCCCTTCTTGAAAAACATTTTCAGCTAAGAGTTAGAAGATATGCCCATATTGAAGGATGATCATTGCTGTTTTTCTTCCCCTTTTTGAACTTCCTTTATTTTCCTTCCTGCATCATTACTCTGATCACTGTTTAAATGCAAACTAAACAAACCAAAAAACAGGACTATGTAGCACTTTAAAGATTCACAAGATGGTTTATTAGATGATGAGCTTTCGTGGGCCAGACCCACTTCCTCAGATCAAATAGTGGAAGAAAATTGTCACAACCATATATACCAAAGGATACAATTTAAAAAATGAACACATATGAAAAGGACAAATCAAATTTCAGAACAGAAGGGAGATGGGGGGGGAGTGAAGGTAAATGTCTGTGAGCTCTCTTTGTAATGGGTAAGATAATTAATGTCTTTGTTTAAAATTAGGTGTAAAGTGTCGAATTTAAGCATTATCTTACCCATTACAAAGAGAGCTTCCCCAATTATCACCTCTAATATCATTAGCTCACAGACATTTACCTCCCCCCC